GGAGTGACGGTGGTGACGGTGTCACCTACTCTGTCATAAATGCCAGAAGCAATGCTGCCCCCAGATCAGTTCTGGTGAGGAGGATTAAAGGAGAGAACAAATGCTCTCTCTACTTGCCATGATTCTTCCAAAGGAAGAGCATCATAAACCAGACATCAATAAAGCATTTTCTACCCAAATTAAACTCTTGCTTACGTAACAAGAAAAACAACTTGTATTATTATCTGTAAAATTGCCATCTAGGGGCTGCTCATATTATATTCCTCGTTTGGAGTCGTGTCCGTGGATTTATTTATGAATGTTCATTACTGAGCTGGAAAAGAGGTGAGAAGTAGGGAGGCAAAACCTGCAGACTAGTCAGTATTATTTAAGGAAGGAGAGACCTGGAGACAGAGCAAAGAGTTTCTGAAGGGATATTCTGGAATAATGTGCTCAGCTTGGCCACTGTGTCTAATAAAGAATATAGCTGAAAGTAAAAGGTTGAGAGATGGGCAGTAAAAATCATGTAAGAATGGAAAACCATGGGTATTAAAGGAAAAATGCTGAAACTTAATTTTAGAAATGGGACAACGAGGGGAGACTATGATGCAGTGCATGGAATGAACACTTAAAAGAGGCACATTGGGATCCTTGCATTCATGTGCTTTTCACAAGAAGCCATTCACTGAAACAGAATAGCATGAAAGGAAGGAGGGAAATATTATTTCAAACACTATACAACCTCCATTGACTTACCAGGTATTAGGGTGAGAGATTATCTGGGCTGAAGAAAGTATTTTCTGAATTCTTCATGAGTATTTTCTGAATATTTTAATGAAAAATGTGAATATCCCCACTTAAAGGAATAGAGATCAAACTGTGGTATGGAAGAGATATAAACCCTAAAATTCCACAGCATGAATGTAGCCAAATGTAAGTGATACTGTTAGGGAGAAACCACTAACCGCAAGTATTCATGCACCTGGTTTTATATGATCTGGCCGTTACCAAAGATAGGATACTTAACTAAATAGATCACAGCGCAGATCCAGTATAATTCCTGTGCAAGCACCGACACTTCGGTGGGCATCCTGATTAAAGATGATGCATCGCTGCCACAAAAATTTAAGCATCTATATTGATTTACGTTGTTTGGCTTCGAGTGCCAACAGTATGAGATAGTGGGCCCTGCTTAATCTTGATACGGAGTTTGTAATTTTTTTGTAAAAGATCTTCAGATCCTCCCTCTCACTACAGTGTCACTTAGAATCATAGAATTGTTAAGGTTGGAAAAGACCCTTAAGATCATCAAGTCCAACCGTTAACCTAACACTGCCAAGTCCACCACTAAACCATGTCCTCGAGCACCACGTCTACCCTTCTTTTAAATACCTCCAGGGATGGAGACTCAACCACTTCCCTGGGCAGCCTGGTCCAATGCTTGACCACCCTTTTGGTGAAGAAGTTTTTCCTAATATCCAACCTAAATCTCCCCTGGCGCAGCTTGAGGCCGTTTCCTCTTGTCCCATCGCTTGTTACTAGGGAGAAGAGACAGACCCCCACCTTGCTACAACCTCCTCTCAGGCAGTTGTAGAGAGCAATAAGGTCTCCCCTCAGCCTCCTCTTCTCCAGACTAAACAACCCCAGCTTGGAGTGTTTCACGCCGTAGGACTTACATGGGAAAATGGGTGTAATAAAACCTTTGTCCCCAGATGTCTCCAAAATGATACACTCTCGATATGAAAAAAGGCTCTCACTGAAGGCAGAATTTGCTGGGGTTTTCCGATTTCCTCCTTCTAGCCTTTTGTCTTTGCAAACTTGAATACACTGAAGTCCCAATTCAGCATAATATTAAACTCTCTGATAGAACTACGGCACGTAATTACAGCTGAGAAGGTGTGGAAATGCTGTGTATATAATAACGGCGTGCGTATATGCATTTAAAGTTAGGCATATCTTTAATTGCTGTGAACTTGTAAAGCCAAGTACAATCTGGTTTTAGTACTGGACACACTTCTTCAGCCTAGAAACAAGGCAGATAACTCTGTTGTGATTGTTTGCGGCAGCTGGCTATATTCCAATATCTATTTAAAAAATAAAGCCATGCCAATATGAGCCATAATATTTAGAAATATTTAGAAAACACATATATGTGAATTACTTTCTTTATTCAAAAGCTTTTGAGACTTCTCCTTCTGGAGCATGTGTCACCAGCTTTTGGTAAGGAATTTATTACTTTACAAATTGCTATGAATCAGAACTATAGCGCATATGAAATGATCGTGCACAAAGGGAAGACAGACGACCGTAACCAGCAGCCTGACGGCCGGTGCCTGTTTAGCTGCTGTGGGAATCTGTGTATGAGCGTGAGTGTCATTAAGATATTACATCTTCTTTAACTGCGAAGTGCCATTCCCTGGGTGAAACAAAACAAAGGCTAGATTAGGTGATCACCATTGTTACAAATCTTAAATCAAAACAATGCAGTCTTTCTTTTCTTTTCCAGTATTTAAACATTTCATTGTTGAGCCAAGAGTAAAATAATGCTGTTCTGCAGAAGCCTACACATTATCCCGATGTGCAGCAGCTGAGGATTTAGTCAAGATTGCTAACTGAGACCTTCTCCCTAAACCTCTGGCCTCCAGTTCAGGTCTTTAACAAAGCGGCTGCATTCCAGTGGGTATCTTCAGGGACCTCGGAAATATGCTGATCTCGTTTTCTTTGTAGCCTGTAGTCCAAGATGTAGGCAGGGCTCCTCCAACAACAATTTGAAAATTGCAGTCCTAATATTACCTCTTCCATGCATCTGTATTGTATTGAAACTTGACTTTATAAATAAAATGGTCAGCTTTGAGGTGGTGTCAGCTCTACGGATGAATTGTGAGAATGGTGTTGAACTGTGGCTTTTTGTCAGAGAAACTTAGGGTTGTGACTCACGGTCACAGGCAGATTAAAAAAGGCTGTAGGGGCTGACACTTTTATAATATGAACACAGATTTCAATGTCCTCCATTGTGTTGACACTGGAACTTGTCCAGCCCCTTGATGAGCTGGTTCTGGGCACCAAAGTGGTAGGAAACTACTTCAGGAGGAAAAAAAGTGAAAGCTTTCTGCTGATTTATTGCCTTGGAGTGGGTCATCGAGGGTCATGTGAGCATGAGAGCTGGCACTAGGAACAAGATGGGATCATATAGCCAGGGACTGATCGGGGCTGTGGCAATTAGACTGGCTTAAACTGTCACAGAATTGTGACCAGAGTTGGACAATCACTGTGGGTCAGAGCCCCGTGGCTGTGGATGGAGATCCTTTCTTGCTCTCAGCGGTGCCAGCTGCTGGTCCCCCGCCTCCTCCTCCCACCAAACGGTGCTCTTGCCCGGGATCTGCCAGGAGAGCTGCCCCGTTCAGCCACGGTGAGCCATTAAAGGAATTAAGCAAACCAAACTATTTGGGACTGAAGTGGGCTGGGAAACAGGTCTGCCAGCAGGCAGGGGACAGTAACCTCCAGGGGAGGAACATGGCAAGAGGTTTGATGGGCTGGGTACACAGGGTACTCCTGTGGTTATAGCTGTTTACAATATGCATGCTGGTTTCTACCCTTAAAGAGCCTGTATGTTTTATCTTCAAAAAATAAAAAATTAAAAAAAAAAAAAACAGAGACAGATTACTAGGTGGCTTGATAACAAAATTTATTCTTACAGGGGAGATATACCAGGTCTCTTGATTTTAGCGAAGAGAGACATAGCAAGAAGAGATGGTAAGAGCTGGAGCCAGGCAAATTTCACATGAGAAATAAGGCACAATTGTTCAACTCTGAGAGTGATTAACCAGCGGAACAGACTACCACGGGAAGCAGTAGATTTTCCATTTCTTCAAGTCTTCAGCTCAGGACTGGATGCCTTTGTGGAAAATACTTTTAATAAACATGAGATTTTGAGCTCAACACTAACTGAGTAAAATGCTGTTGTGCTTATTAAACAGGAGGTCAAGCTGGATGATATAATACCCCTTCTACTCTTAAAAATCCATGAAGTATAAATGAAACAGCTATTGAGCTCCACCGGTTAGGGTACACATTCATACGCTTTCCTTGCCAGTGGCAATGTTTCGGCTGGAAAATTGCAGCTCCTGATGACCCGGTGTCCAGGACAGCATCCTACTCCTGCCGAACCCTCCGCTGAGCTCAGTCTGTCTCTGTCTGAAGCCCCTTAGCTATGATTCCCTCCAGTTCAACATTCTTTGTGTCCAATTCGGATTGTGTTATGTAAAAGGAGAACTACAAATTAGGGGAAAAAGAAGTACGCTTTAGTACCAAGTAAAAGGTAAGTAGAAAGAAGTAAATTTAGTTAGATATAACAGAGGCTACATGTGAAGGAAGGCTGAGTAACAAGCTTTTCATGAAGTTTTAAATCTGCAATTTTCTCAGCAAGTCATCTCAAAAGCTCTCAGAGTCCTTAAAAATCTGATTTTTTTTTTCTCCTGAAAATAACAAAGCAGGTCTTAAAAGAGCACTTTCCCTCAATAGGGTCCAAAGTCTATTAGCGAGGGAATCAGCATTATTATTTCCTTCAGTTTTATACATGGAAGTGAAAAAAGCGAGCTGTCCATAGCTAGTCAGAAACTGCTGACTGTGATCCTGCTGGCTGTATCTCAGATAAGTATCTGACAAGAGTACAAGTATACAAGTATCTTTATTTTATTACAAGAAACCCAATTTATTTTCTTAAAAGGGTATTCTGTGGCTGTCTTTTGACAATAATCCTGAAAGAAGCGGACTAAGGAATTCTCTTGCTCATAGTTGGGTCTGGCCCTGATGATTTCCGCCAAATACAGTCGCACAACAGCCAATATATAGTTAAAAGCTGCAAACATTTCTGGCACCCTATGTAGTGTCATTTCCATCCACTTAACAGCCCCTTTAGATGTAGTTAAAAGACGTTAAGTTAAGCCAGCAGTGTGGGTACTGTGCAGCCCAATGGCAAATGAATGACATCAGGTGGGAGAGGAGCAGACACGAAGTACCTGATGCTCAGCCTGACATTCAGCCTGCGGCTGTGCAGCCGCTTTGCACCCACAAAGCTGGACGCCCGCCTGCCATCCGAGTATTTACACGAGGCCGTGATTAGGAACGGTGAGCATGTACGCGCTCAGACTGTCTGTGCGGTTGGCTACACAATTTAAAAGCAGGCCTTCAGTTTGAGGCTGAACTGAAAAAATAAGAATTCCTACTCCTATCATTGTTTTACAATATCACAACACAGTTTTCATCCACAAAAGAGCCACAGCACAGAGCCAAGCAGAGGCCATGATACACAGAAAGGATCTCAAGGCTCCACAGTTTTCACAGTCAAGTTTCTTCTACCAGTCAACTTTATAAACCACATCCCAGCAACAAGCCAGCATACTCACTGTGGAAACATTAACTCCTAAGTTTCTCAAGGATTATTGGAAATATGTAGCTACCCTGAGCTCAAATATTACCTTGGCACTAAAGGTAAGGGCAATAGGCCAATGAGACTTTCTCCTGATTCTGCTGCTATGTAATCTGTTAGACTATTTTATTCTCTACTAATCCCTGTTAATTCTGTGCTTCCTTCTTGCCTGCCCTGCACCTGGAACATGCCTGTCTAGAAGGGAACTCAAGAGGCCGTTGGCCTCATTGGCCTTATATAGGATCTGTTACGCCTAAAATATTCCTGACTGACATTTCTCTAACCTTAAAGTCTCCATATACCATCCTCCACCGTGATCTATTCCTATTCATTATCTATTCCTACAGTTCCCTATACGTAAACTGAATCTTCTTTACTGTAATTAAAGCCCATTGCTTATTGTCCTACAGAAAATAAATTATTTCTTTTTTCCAATGGCCTTGCCTTTCTTTTATGTCTATTATCATCTCTCTTCTCAGATTTCTGTTGTTTAGGGTAAGAAGTTCCAGTTTGTTCCATTTTTGTGTTCTCTGTCCCATGCTTTTCGAGTTGAACATTTCTGCCTAAGTGTAGTATCTCAAATTTATCGCCATTAAAAAGCTATTTTCAGGCCCTTTTAGAAATATGTGAAGAGCTTTCGGAATTCCAGTCCTATACCCCAGTGTATTTTCGGTCCCCTCCCACCTCTTTGTCATTTCCATGTGGAATGTGCCCATTTTCCATCCCAGCAGCTAAATTATTACTGAATAGATTGAAAAAGACTTAGCAAGGGAGAGTCCCACTTGGTAATGGTGCTACCCGAATAAAGGATGGCAGCAAGGACCGGCACAACGCAGCTGTGAGAGCGCTGTGCTAGTCTGGTAGTACCCAACACAGAGAGAGACCAAGTTGGTAATCTCCAGACCTCTTAAGGTCTTCAAGTGGAAAAGTGGCGCAAAGCCACGTCGGGCCATGGTTTAACCTGTTGTTTTTAAAAGCAGCATCAGGTTATGTATTCTGTTCCCTACCTTCCCTTTGGCACTTGGTCGTACCCCTGCACAGCCTCTTCTGTCAAGCCAGTGCAACTATTTGTGCAGCCCAGTGGTAAATCAAGTTGGGGGAAAACTAAAAGAGCACAAAGAGAAGTGTAGGTCGCGGCTAGATGCATGCTCAGAAACAGTTCACCACGGAGCTTGTGCCCACACAAGGAAGAGGAGAGGCAAGTGTGGCTGGAAGTGTATGCTCACAACGGGTTTAAGAAAAACGCAGCTGGTGCTCAGAGAAATGGCCCCATGCACCCCTCTGCACTTGTCTTCTCTCTGACGCTGGGTGTAGTGCTTAAAACTACTCGACTCTTTTCGGCTTGGTTAGTTTTCAATCTGATCGGACCCCTGATCTGGCTGACCGCATATCTAAACAGTCAGCAATGTTGGCTCAAGACAGGCGTTGGACATAGGAGAGGGGTCCCTAAAAAGTAGAGTTTCATGCATGGCTTTCACCTAACTAAAATGATGTTTTGGCCCAGAAAAGATTCTCCTTTATTGTGCCTTCCACCAGCTCAGCGTGTGGCCGTGTGGCTGACAGAAAGGACGCAGCACGTACCAGCAGCGCGTCCTGGGGCTCTTGTGCCTTAGGTGCCTTCGCCTTCTGCGTTGCTGAGGGCCTTCCATCAGAACGCCATACCCGCTTTCCACCCCCAGCTCCGTGTCCTCTCGCCCCAGCTGCCTCGGCGATGTTTCCCAGAGCCGCTGGAGCAGTATCTTGTTTTTCTCATGCTGTTGCTCTCATGCTGTTATTCGCATGACCTTGCACCTGCAAACCCCTGATAGTGTTCTCGGCAGGTTCTCATGGGAAGCGATGGCCACCAGCGTGAGAATCACCCCTTCTTCCCCCCTTTTCCTACCCTTTGGTTGTAGCTTTTGGTTTGCATCACAGGGGGCACAATGCTTAACAACTATCCAGCGTGCAGGACCTGCAGCAGTAGCGGTTACAACCCATAGCATTTGGGGGGGCCCAGTAAACTTTTTATCGTTACTATGGGATAAGCACTACGGGAGAGGAGTCCAGGAGAGGATGCTTTCTGGGGTCCCTCCCCTCACTTTTTTCTCAGCTGCCTACTTAGGAGAGTTCTCCCTTTCCCTTCGCTTTCTCAATCTCTCTGTTTTCACTATTAGATTCACTGCATGCCCTCAGCTATGAACCCCACTGCGAACTTGTCCCCACACCGCATGGGCGACAGGGGAACGGCATCGAAGGCGGGAATCCCCCCGACAGCCCCCTTGCTTTAGCAACCACACAGTGGCAGACTAGCTTTGCAGCTTCTTACAGGTAAGAGTGCACTTACACGCAGCTTAAATTAAACTAAATTGGGTTTGCCATCACGTGTAATGGAGGGAGCGCACGGCTGAGGCAGGAGGGAGAGTGACGGTGGAATGAGAACGTGCTTTTTGGTGGCAGCCTGCAGCTGCACTGGACTGGAATAGGGGAAAACCATACTCTAAGTGGGAAGAAAAGCCATTAATACCCAAGAGCTTCCTCTCTGGAGAGAGTGAACAAGTTTACATGAAGTGGTGTGAGCAGAGGAATGGGTCAGGAACAGAAAGCTGCCAGTCACAACAGGGACAGGCAGATCCTGGGGAGCGGGGCTCCTGGGGGAAGAGCGAGCGGAAGCAAAGCCATGAGGCGACGGGACACAGGAGCTGCTCCCGCAGCTGCCGCCGCGGACCGTTGCCCCCTTAGCACTGGCGGCAAATCTGTGCCTGCACCCTGTCACGAGGTTTCACAGTTACTTTGGAGTTTTTCCAGTACAACTACTGAAAAATTAAACTGAAATATGAGCTGAGAGAATAACCCATTTATTTAAATATAGATTAACCTTAGGTGTCAGACCATTTTTCCCAGCAAATAATTCCCCCACCGCACAGCTAAGCAAAGCCTGAATTAGAAAGAATAAGTATGTCTCTAAGGCATTTCTAAATCATCAGACTTTGTTACAGCTAATCATTTCACCGATATTTTAGCACTCTGAGTTGCTTCTGAAGATGATGCCAACACAGTCATCGTGGCTGTGTGTGTTTCAGTGGAAAATATTTTGGGCTAAGCATTGTGCGTGACTATTTCAATAGAAAAATATTTAAGGGAAAGTGTATTGTCATGGTAAACTACATAGAAAAACTAGGGCGGGGCATGGGAAAAAAAGGCAAAAGTTACGTACAAATAGGAAACAGCCACGTTTTGCAAAATTTTATTCAATTACCCATATATTTTTTGCCTTAGCTGCTCCTTTGGTGAGCGATGCTTACACAGACCAGACAACGCGGCGCAAGGCCTGAGTCGGTACTAACTTCCCCAGGGACTGGCTGTGGAACAGGGTTGTTTACCTAAGAGGATTCCCCGGTGTTAAGGAGAGAGCCAGGCCAAGAGCAGCCTGCTCCGGAGGTGTCGAGAGGTAATGGGAGCACGGGGCTTCCCTGGACGGTCCTGACCTGTTGTGTCTTTCCCAGGTTGAATGGAAATCTCGGTGGGGATCACCCTTGTAGTGCTTTTGGGGAAGATGTGGAGAAAATTCTAGGGAGGTAGCTGCACATACTTCTGGTCGCTATACAGACAGGGCAAGTGAAATTCAGTTTAGCTGAACATCAGTTTCTTTCAGATTCGTTGATGCTGTGGTGATAGATTCAGTACTTTACCATTCACGCTTCTAGGAACAAGTTCTGGGATGGCCAAAAGGATGGACGTTAGCCCCTAGCATTTAGGACATTTTCAATTGCTGCTGATGCAGGCACAGCTGCCACACCAGCAGCTGAGTTCCTGTTGATGATGGAGGTTGCGTTGTTATCGGACTTTGTCGCAGAGCCAGTGTGGGGCTGCGGATCCCCCACATCTCTTCCACAAACTGGGGTCTGAAGTCCCTTTGTAAACACGCTTCATACACTGTAAATGTGCCTGGCTGATTCAGGGAGAGCTCCTTCACACGCAGAACAAACTATCCTGGAAGAAAGGTCACTTTAAACTAGACTAAAGGCTCTGCTCACATGAGCTGTGGGTCCATGAGGATTTATCTGGTGACGATACTGGCTGAAGTAATTCTGGCCTTTTTCCTCCCACCTCCCTCTCTTCCCACCAATTGTTCGTGTGCCACTCCCTGCACTGCGCCAGCAGAACTGTTTGTGTAGCTACATCGTGAACAAACAAGGGAACTGATCTAACACAACTAGGCAAAATGGAGAAATGTTGTTTGTTTTCTTCTGCCGGATCCTTTGACCTGGGTGATTCATTACACAGCTATAGAAATCACTCCCTGGCAGAGAACAGGAGGGCAGGTGGAAGCAGAAGAAATCAGATGGATGGGGTGGGATGGGACTGCCTGAGCAGCACTGTTGCTGAAACCATGAAACCACAGACTGAGTTGAGGCTTTACGGATGCTAACGGCACGTTGTTGCCCCTCTGTCATCGTCACAGCAGAGTTGTTACAGTCGCATGGACAGTCCTACACCTCGGGTCAAACTCTTTCACCCCTAAAGACAAAGCACGAACTAAAGCGACACACAGAGATTTCAGGAGATGGCTGAGCTGTAGCCCACCACTACCATCAGGATGAGATCTTGTTTCTCAGCCATGTTTTGCCCCTGGCTGCAGCTTCCAGCCTTCCTTTGCACCAGTTCTGGTGGCCATCGGAGAATTTGCAGAAGTCTGGTCTTGTTCATTAGCTGAAGAGGAATGACCAAGTTACTTTGTGCTTGATCGGTTTTCTTCTGGGTTAGCGAGCTGACCTGGCTCATTGATAGCCTGTTGAAAAGCAGAGGCCACGGAAGGTAAGCGGTAGAAAACCAGAACTAGGAACACGGAGAAGGTTTGGAAAGGAGGGTGGGTGAGATATCCTTCCTTCAGTAGCTGTCTCATCTTCTGATTCAGATACACCTTCCATTTTTATGCAGGTCGTTAGCTCTAGCAGATGGAGAAAATATATGACTTCTATGCACATCATCCTGAACTTCTGCAGCAAGATTTAAATGTGTGAGCTGTTCCTTGCTTTCAGAGCATGAGTCAGCTAAAGGCTTGACCCATTAATCTTTCAAAAGTGAGAGGGGGAAAAAAGACTGCAGCCTTTTCTGGCTGTTGCATTCCCATTACGCAAAAGGGACGCTACGGGTTTCTGTGTTAATGCTTTTTCATTGGCTTCTAAATTTGCCGTTTTCATAAGGCAAAATCTACAACGTTAGCTGTCAGACTTACAAACTCAACTGGTGTTCTGAAAATCCAGCTGTGTTTTCAGATTCTTAACAAAAATTCCAGTAAAACAGCCTCTGTCATTGGAGATTAACTGGCAGGGCTCTTGACAATACATGGAGCAGAACAGAATCCTCCTCAGTTGCCATGGCTATGTTTTCCCATTGAGTTAACAGAATTAAAAAAAAATAGTTTTTCCAGGTAATTCAGCAATTCTGACCTACACACACACAGAAAACAGTTAATATCAATGAGAAGGAAGACTTTTTACACAGCAGACACTGGTATCGGGACTGAGGTGCAGGGCTATCTCTGTACATAGGCAGAATAACCATCACCTAAGGCAGCACAGTAGCAGGGGCAGCACAAAGGCCAGGGCCCCAGTGTAAATGCCGGAGCTCTAAAAAGTCAGACCCGTAGCTGCTCCACCGAGTAATGGGAGGGGTGTGAGGGCAGCAGGTGCTGCCTGGGGAGAATACCCCTCCAGCCTTTTCCATGCTCCCTGTGGCAGTGGGAACAAGCAGCTTAGTTTTCCAGGGCTCTGCTCCTTGATCTGCCTGCCCACTAGCTCTCCATTTCAAGTATCCTCCTTTCCCAGCACAGCACAGCCCCTTCATCTTTAGGATGGCAAAATTCAGTGTTACCTACACAGCTGAGAAACCCTGAGCTTACTCTTAGTCTCTTTAAAACACCACTATTTCTTACATTCTTTCTTAAGTATCCTCTACTGCCTACTCTGGGAGAAAAAAAGCACTGGGCTACCTGGACCAGCTGATTGCCAGAATCACCGCCAGAAGAATGCAGGAGGGTGGCAGTCCTTGTGTTTTATACAGACTGCCTGAAGCATATCAAGGAAGAAAGATGCCAGGGGAGATGTCTTGCTGGAAGAATTGGTCAAAGATGTGAAGGTGCAGTCTTGGCTGCAGCAAACGCAAGACTGTAGAGTTGAAAATCTGGAGAGAAATGAGCAAGGCAACTAGTAGAATCACAATCCTGGACTTCAGGAAAGCAGATTTCGGTTTACTCTGGAATCTTCTTGCCCTGGAGGGCACGGGGCCCAGGGCAGCTGGTTGATCTTCAAGAACAACCTGAAAATCCAGCAAGTGTGGCAGGAGGGCAGCATGGATGTACAAGGGACTCCCAGCTGAGCTCCAACACAAAAAGGAAGCGTACAGAAAGTGGAAGCACAGATGGGCTGCTCAGGAGGAATACAGAGACATCGCTTGAGCACGCAGGCTGGTGTTAGGAAAGCCAAAGCTCAGCTGGAGATGAAATCAGACAGGGAGGTGAAGGTTAGCAGGAAAGGCTTCTGTAGGTATGCTGGCAGCAAAAGGAAGGCTGAGGAAAATAGGGGTCCACTGCTCTATGGAGCAGGGGACACGGTGACAAGGGACATGGAAAAGGCTGAGGTACTCATTGCTGTTTTCCCATGTTTTTCACTGTTATGATCTGCCCGTAGGCTTCCCAGTTCCCCAAGCCTAGTAGCAGAGTCTATGGGAGTGAAGCAGCACCCAGCACAGAAGTCAGGGAGCGCTGAAGCCAACTGGATGTACTCAAGTCCACAAGACCAGATGGGATGCGACGAAGGCTGCTGGAGGAGCTGGCCAATGTCATTGTGAGGCCACTCTCTATCATCTTTGAACAGTTATGGTGACCTGGGAGGTTCTTGATGACTGGAGATGGGTAGATACCACACCTACCTTCAAGAAGGGCAAGAAGAAAGATCCAGGGAATGAAAGGCCAGTCTGCCTAGCCTTAGTCCTTGGGAAGGTGATGGAGCAAATCCTCCTGGAAGCCATGTCCAAGCACATGAAGGACAAGAAGGCAATTGCGAATAGCCAGCATGTGTTTACCAGGGGAAATTGATTGCTTTCTACAATGAGATGACTGGCTATGTGGACAAAAGAGGAGATGTGGATGTTGTAAATGTTTTGCAAAGCTTTTGACATGTTTCCCTTATAGTCAAATTGGTGAAACATGGCTGGGTAAGTGGATTACAAGGTGGCTCGAAAGTTGGCTTGGCCATTGGCTCAAAGAATAGTCAGTGGTACAACGTCCAGCTGGCTGCAGGTTACTAGTGCCATCCCTCAGGGATGGATACTGGGGCCAGGACCATTTAATGTCTTTTACTGATGACCTGGATGACGTGATGGGGGCAATCACAGCCAATTTGCAGGAAATACTAAACTGGGGGTGAATGACTGATAAGCTGGAGGTCAGGGCTTCTGTGCAGTGTCCTAGACGGGTTGGAGGAATGGATTCACAGGAACTTCATGGAGTTCAACAAAGGCAAAGGCAAAGTCTTGCACTGGGGGAGAAACAGCTTTATGCAACAGTGAAGGTTAGGGGTCAACAAAGGCGTCCAGTGGAAAAAGACTCGGAGGTCCCGGTGCACAGCGAGCGGAACATGAGTCAGTGAAGTGCCCTTGCGGCAGAGAAGGTTAACCACACACAAGGATGTTATCAGCAAGAGTGTAGCCAGCAAGTTAAGCGAAGTGGTTCTTCCCCTCCATCTGGCACTTGTGAGACCACATCTTGCAAGTGTCCAGTTTTGAGCTCCCCAGTACAAGAAATACATTCATCCACTGGATTGAGCCAGTGGAGGGCCACCAGGCTGGTCAGGGGACTGGAGCTCATGATGTATGAAGAGAACCTGAAAGAACTGGGTCTGTTCAGCCTTAAGAGAAAGCAAAGGAGGGAGCTTATTGCTGTCTACAGATGCCCAGTGGAAGGACGTAGAGAAAAGAGATGCACAGGGAAAGGATGAGGGGCAAGGGACACAAACTGAAGCATGGGAATTTCTAATTCATTACAAGGAAAAAAAAAGATTACCAGGAGGGAGGGTAGTCAAACACTGAAAATGGGACCACAGTGGCTGCAAAATCTCTTGCGTTGAAGGTATTCAAAACTGGACTCAATGAGGCCTTGAGGAACCAGCTTTAACTGGCCCTACTTTCAGCAGGGGTTGGAGATGATGAGCTTTGGAGGTCCCTTCCAACCTACGTGATCCCATGATTCTGTGAAGAAGCATGCCTTGAAGAGAATGAATGAAAGCAGTGAGACTGATTTACCCTCAACCCGCTGATATAAAAAGTATATCAATGTCCCTGAATGATCCAGAAATATTCCAGTATGTAAAAAAACCAAAAACCAGCTCATCTCTTAAGACCCCATGACTTCAAGGCATTCCAGAAATTCTTTTTTTTTTTTTTTTTTTACATTTATTTTTGCAATCTTATGAGAACTCACATTTGGCAAAATCCTCCCATATATATCAAATGCAGCCCTCCCAAGTACCCACCGTGTGCTTTTAAAATACCACTAAATCATCGTTACTTGAAATTGACTGCAGATTTTTTAAAAAATATTTTATTGTTCTCCCATTTTCCTCTATACACTATGTCAAGGGCCCTGTTACTTCTTAGTTAATATATGTATGGTATTTATATAGCAGTATCATACTAATTAAACAAATCATGAACTATAAGATATATATTCTTTCATAATACCCCTCGGGGATGTAAGAAATTCTTCTCCCATAATACAGTGGAGAAACTGAGGTACAGCAAAGCACAGGGGCTTTCCAAAGAGAATCTTGGCAGAGCACAAATTGAAGCAAATTCTCTGAACTTTGAAGCTTGTGTGTAACCACACAACTAATTCTTTAAATAGAAGCTCGATGAAGTGTACCATGATTTTTGGAAACTCGGGTCCCCTGGTGTACCGGCCTTTCATGTCTTCTGAGAAAGCAAAAAAAGGCAAGTGGTTTAGACTAAGAACCGTCTAGAGAGGTCAGCAGGATTGTCACCTGGTGAAGGAAGCCCTCTAGCACCCAGAAGACAGGAGAAGGCAGAGACCAGCCTGGGACCCAGAAGTTGGTGATGGAGACTGAACTCGTTAATTCTGGGTGTGGGTGGGGAACCTTCCTGCGTGTGGGCGAAGCAGCACAGGCTAGCTGAGGCTTCCACTTTCCTTACGTTTTGGATGAGCCAGTGGGAGCTGAATGCATAGCTGGCCATCTGGAGGACGTCAGTTGACAGCTGCAAAATGAAGGGGAGCTGTTCTCTCTCCAGTAGCTCAAGGGCACCCATGGGGAGAAGTTAAAAACCTTCACCACTGAAAACTTGGTGCTGCCCTTCTTTCAATAGATCTGCAGCACAGTCGTGATTTAGTCTTAATTAGGATGCCAATCTAAAAACATCCTGTCGTATTTTAAAAACAAGCCTGTTCTTTCTTTGTATGTTTTCCCACAAACACTTTTATCACAACCTTGATCTTACAGCGCAGACCTGGGCAGAGCTTTTATTAATTGTAAACTACAACCTTTTGCTATATATTATGCAATGCTTCATTGGAGCCTACAGTTCTGCAGAAGAAAAAAAAAAAAAGAGGCTGTCTGTTGCTAAAACCACTACAGTCTGTGCACCATTTTAAGCATACCTCTTCCTTTTTATCTCCGAAGGTTATGCAAGATTAAATTTTACATACGGGGCACGGCTCACCTCTGTCACTGCCCTCAAAGCAATCACTTTGCGAGGCTGGAATGTCTCCCTGAGGGAGGAAAAGCTTGTTTCTGCCCCTGCAAGAAAAGCAGGTAAGATGCTGTGCTTGTGGGCAGGTTACTTTTCCCCTTTGGTAGGGTTTTTTTTTTTTACTGTTCATAATTACTATGACTCTGGGACTTGTGGTTTTTCAAATAAATAAATAAAAATCTGGCAACTGCAGTTACTTCATTTATAGCGCTAAGTAGGAACTTGCCAGGGAGAACAGGAGCAGGCAGCAGAGCAGAGCCTATCTTCCTTCTCCGTGCAACACCGTTTTCAAATTAAAGGACTTTTGTAGAGCAAGAGAACGAAAAGAAACCCTTTGGGCACAAGACACAGCACTCGAGAACCGCGGGAAGATGGACAGAGGGACCGTTAACACCCGTGGCGACAGGGACTGCTTGTTTCTACCCCACACGCGTCCTCGGCCGGCCCTGCCTGGCACGGCCGCGCTGCAGGCAGCGATATAAAGTGCCACTACGCTTCCGTGCTATTAAAAGACGGGTTAATGTAACCCCCAGCCCCGCCGAGGCGAGCGGGGACCGCGCCGTCCCCTCAGCCAGCGGCCCCCTCAGGCGCCGCGCGCCGCCGGGCGCGGGAAGAGCGCTTTTTCAGCAGTGTGGCAGCTCGCCGCTCCCCGGCCGGGCAACGGGACGCAGGGCTGCTTTACGGCAGGCGTTTCGACCTCCCAGTCCGCGCTTTGCGGCTGCGTGGCGGGGTGG